ATACTTAAAGAAGACGATATTTTAAATTCATTTTTACCCAACCAGCCAAATATTGTGTTTAGAGGGGCACCTAATTTTAAATCTATCTTAACTACTAATTTTACTCGAGAATCGCCTGTTAGGGGTTTCTCTTTTTTTCCACAAACAAAAGGCTTTTATAAATGCAAACAATGTATAGTGTGTAGAACTACAGATCCATCCACCCCATCTAAAATTACTCAGTTTATGTCCAATAGGACTAATAAAATGTATAATATTTATGACTTTATCGGCTGCAACACTAAAAATGTTATTTATCTGCTCGAATGCCCATGTGGTCTCCAATATGTGGGGATGACCACAAGGTGCTTAAAGACAAGATTGAGCGAACACTGCAGAAATATTAAAAATGGATACTTAAATCATACAGTATCCAAACATTTTATTATGCATAACAAAGATCCTAAACTATTAAAATGTATTGGTATAAAAAAATGTTCTACCCCCTGGCGAGGAGGAGACATAAAAAAACTACTTGGAAAAATAGAAATGGAATGGGTGTATAACCTCAAGACCCTTATACCCCATGGCCTCAATGCAGACTTTGACCTATATAATTTTCTGTAATATAAAAACTATTTTACATGTCTGTTTTACACTAATGCCTTTTACCTTGTCTATACTGCATTTTTATACTCCAACTGCATTTTTATATTTTATTATTTATTATTTTCTGTATTTATAGTAATGTTTTACTATTTTTCATTTTTTATCATTTTTATCATTTTTATCCTACATAAGTGTGCCCCTTCAGTTTTGGTAAATTTTGGTCTATGTAGTGTAAAAACTGTGGGAGGAGTTAGGGTGGCAAATTTGGCTATAATAATAATAATAATAATAATAATATATATGTGAGATAACAATAAGTGGTCATGCTATGCAAGAACACTTAATAATATATATGTGAGATAACAATAAGTGGTCTTGCTATGCAAGAACACTTAATAAAGGAAATTCAGTAATGGATGGGATGTTTATAAAGCTATAGAGAAAGTGCCAGTACTAATAATGATAACAAGTAAGAAGAATCAGTCTGAAATTCAGTTAGTCCAAATCTGCTCTCACAATCTATGTTTCTTTTCAGGGTTGTACCTGATGGTTAAGGAACTCCTTTGTTACAATTTAATAACCTCACAGCTCAAAATATCTAATGAGTTGTTTGTAATTATTTCATGAGGTATAGCTGAAGGGTGTGACCTGGTGATGGGATATTTCTGGGGATTTTTCATATTGTTGCAAGCCATTTATCTACGCAAATACATTTCTAAACACTCATTACTGTTTATTTCAATTTTTGTTGTTTAACCGCCTTCATACGTTCATACACACCACGCGTTACAGATAGTTCTCCTAAATAGTCCCAAGCACAATAGCAAAAAGGAGGAACTGAAAAGATATGTGTTCCGAAGACAGATTGCTGTTCTGGGAGAACCTGGCAGTAAGAGGTGTGCTTGACTCCAAATTAGGTCAAAAAGGCCAGTAAGTTCACAGAGTGGCTTTCACATTACCAAATTTCCCAGAGTGGACCAATGGGCTTGTGAACTTAGCTCCAGGGAGCTCACCAAACTGTTACCTCTATTCTGGCTTGCTCCCCAGAATATTTTCATGAGCTATAAGTTATGGGATCACTGGGTTTATATAGTCACATATATGGACAATTGCTCCTTTCATAATGTATGTAAAAAGATAGATAAATAGATAGATAAATAGATAAATCACATTTTCCTGCTATCAAATTCAGCCCATCTGTTTAAGTTCAGTGGGATGATGCATTGTCATGAGAATCTGTTTAACACTTGGGGGTCGCAGGTTCAGTTCCCAGCAGTTACGTAATAGTAATATCCCCTGGATGTTTGGCAAAAGGGCCATCCCCAGGACGTAGTTGAAAACCAGAGCAATCTGAATGTACCTTTCCTAATTAAACACTTTTTTTTATCATTGTATGCAGACAATATGAACGGAATGAGTTAAGGCTCCACCTAAAAATTTCTAGGTTTAATCTCTACCTTAACTCAGGTTGTGGGTGAACATGGATGGTTTAGGACTGGGTCAGGTGCAGTACCAGTGGACTCCAGGCACTATAATCCATTCAATTATATAAAATGTTTATACTGCCTACAGTGTCCCCTTAAGAGTATTCTATTCAGGAAATGGTGCTTTATTTAAAGGATACTCCAAGCACCATAACCACATCAGTGATTTGAAGTGGTCATGGTGTGTGCAGCCCGTATGTGCAGCGTTTCACTATGAAGCTATTTGCTATATGTGTAACTCCAGCAAACATTGCTTACATTGCATGCTGGTGACAGATGACTAATGATGGCATGACTCCATCACAGCCTCAGCCCTTCCGCCCTGGCATCACTTCCACTCCAGCCAATGGGTGTGACATCATCAGAGGATGGGTGACATCACCAGAGGAGTGACATTACTGGGACAACTTGCCCTTCACCGTGGCATTACGGGTTTTTGCCTCATTCATTTATTTATTTTTATTTTTGTGGTATTTGGGGGACACAGGACAGTAAGGGTTACTTAATTCAAAACACAGATTTTTGGTTGGAGTAACCATTTAGCCCTTTAGTTAGGTTTAGGTCTAGTTTTCCAGCGATTGCTTAGATGACGATTCACCTATACAGTAACTAACACTGGAGCCGGCATGCCTCGGGCACTCAGAGGTTTATTTTTTGGCAAAAATCATTGGGACGGCACTATCAGGACACTGTTCACACACAAAAATGACAGCTGAACGACTAAAATTTGGATCTTAAACATTCAAACTATTTGGTGACTGGCAGTGTTAGCAGTAATGAGATAACTGGCCACCTACTGCTAGCCAGCCGCTACAAAAAAAGTTAGAAACAAATACAAAATAACAGCCTATGGAGGTCTAACAATCGTATAACTATCAGGAGGATTTTATCCTTTGTTATGCTGCCACCTAGGGGGTTTATCTGCTAAATGGTGAGCAGTCAGCAGCAGCTTAACTACTTACAACCAATCCCCTGTTTAGTAGCCGTTTAGTTGATAAATTCCCACTTAGATTATAATCATCTCAATAGTTATATAGGAGTCAGATTCATCTCTCCTTTGGCTTTATTTTGCATTTCTTTGCTGGCTGTTTTTGTTTGTTTATTTGTTTGTTTTGTTTTGCCAGTCACCACACTGTTTAACTGTCTAATTTTTTTATGTTAACCTACCTGCCATTAACATCATCTAGCAATAATAACTTAACACAAGCTCGATGAATCCCATTAAAAGTGTCCTTGGGGAAATTATCACACGCAGTGAGTTTTTTTTTATCTCACATATTATGGAAATAATAATCACAACAAGAATAATCAATTTGCCTCAATGGATTGAATTTGGCATTCTAATTATTGTTATTTTATGCATAAAATACACCATAGTGTTTTTAAACAAAAAGAAAGTTTCAAACAGAGGCGTAACTAGAAATCATCGAGCCCTGGTGCAAAAATTACCCTTTCATTCCTCCCCAGCTCCTCCATGTGTCTCACCCTCCCCCCCCAGTCCCTCCATGTGTCTCATTTCCCCCCCCCTAAGACTTTCCATATGTCTCATCCCTCTAGCTCCTCCATGTGTCTTATCTCCCTCAGCCCCTCCTTGTATCTCCTTCCTCCCCCAAGTCCCTCCATGGGTCTCATTCTCCACCCCAGCTCTTCTATGTGTCTCATTCTCCCCCCAAAGCCTTCCCATGTGTCTCGTCCTTCCAACTCCTCCATGTGTCTCATGCCCCTCAGGCCCTCTGTGTATCTCCTACCCCCCAGTCCCTCCATGTATCTCCTTCCCCCCAGTCCCTCTATGTGTCTCATCCCCCCTCCGCCCCTTTATGTATCTCATTCCTCCAGTCCTCAATGTGTCTCATTCTCCCCCAGCTTCTCTATGTGTCTCATGCTTCAGAGCTCCTCAATGTTTCTCATCCCCCCTGTCCTGTGTCTCATTCCCCCATGTCCCTCCATATGTTTCAACACCCCCAAGCTACTCCATGTGTCTCATTCTCCCCCATGTCACATTTCCCCTCCATGTATCTCAATTTCCCCTCATCTTTGCATGTGTTTCAATTTCCCCAGCCCCTCCATATGTCTCATTCTTCCCCCGTGTGTCTCATTCCCCCTTCCATGTGTTTCAACTCCCCATCCCCTTCATGTATCTAATTCTCCCCCATGTGTCTCATTCAACCTTTATTTGTTCAGCTTCCACCCAGTCCCTTCCATTTGTCTCAATTGCCCCAGTGCCTTTCATGTGCCTCAGCCCCTCCCCAGTGCCTTCCATGTGTCTCTCCCCTCCCCCTTAAAGCCCCCCCACCCCAACGTGTCTCTCCTCATCCCCTTCTGTACTTGCTCTTCTCATCTATGTAGCGTGGCTGACCTGACCGCAGCACCCAGTCTGACAGAGGAAAACAGAGGACCCTTTACCACTCTGCATACAGTTACTGGTAGAAGCAGAATGCTGTGCGTCAGTGCACTGGCCCTGAAGTTATGCCAGTGTGCCCATGTTTGCATGAGTTCACAGGGCAGCTTTGCGACCGCTTTTATTACGCTACTGGTTCCAAACTCAATGACACAGGTCACTCTATTCAAGCTCAAAGGGAATTATTCACTAAATTCCAAACAGTAATGAATTTAATTTGAATTGTGAAATAAAGCAAAAGTTAAAAGCTCCAATTCAGCTACAGTCACAGATCAGCTATTATAATCTGTATGTTACAGTTAGATTTTAAGGTCACCACAATTTACTATTTAGTGAATAAACACCAGCTTGTTTCACACAGCTTTCAAAATAAAAGGTTAAACTGGTTTTGTCATCATGGGAAATGCCATCCATAATAAAGAATTTAGCAATGACCTTGTATTTGATTTAGATTATGTTCAACCTTAGGAGGAGACAATGCAGGGAAATTCCTCAAGATAGGGGAGTGAACGTACTCGTGTGATCACTGACTACTATATAATCAACTGTCCTCAGTAGGAGAGACTAAAACCTTAGCACCCGAACCACTGATACCTTGTTAAAAATTAATGACTACTACAGGGATTATCATGCACGCCTTACCCTTCATCGTTATAGCCCTTCTGTGCATCGCTAGTGTCACACAAGGTAAGATGTGTATGTTATTTCAGTGTCCATGTATCAGAGTATATTCACTAAATACAGAATTAAAAGAGAATTTCAAATTGTAGAGCCACAGGCTTATTTACAAAAGTGAGAATTTTCAGGGACTCAAAGTGAATTTTACATTAAAGGCAATAATAGTTTAACTGTAAAAAAATTCTCCAAGTCAGTTTGGCTATTCTGGTCTAAAATTTTAAATTCATTTTAGACCAGAATAGTTTTTCTTTAACCCAGCAATGGAGCGAAAATTGAAATATTCACAAAGACAGGTGTGTTTCATTTCAGGTCAAAAATGAGAAATTCACCACACCGTAAATAGCCTTTCTAGTGTGTATTTGCACGTATATTATTATTAGAATTTATATAGCACCATCATACTCAGCAGCGCTTTAACATAAGAGAAGTAAAGAGCTTACAATCTATGAGGTAGGTAGATAAATACATTACTAAGTGTTTAAACCAGGCTTCCTCAAACTCCGGCCCTCCAGATGTTGCTGAACTACAACTCCCCTGATTCTCAGCCTATCTATTTCATTGATAGGATCATGGGAGTTGTAGTTCAGCAACATCTGGAGGGCTGGAGTTTGGGGAAACCAAGGGTACTTACTGGTGAGAGGGTCTGGCTGGGATTCAGGGTCTGGCAGGTTTTGTAGTTAGAAGTCAGTGACATCGCCACTATTGTAACCAGCTGATCCGTGTTTGTGTATATGTGTAATTAATGCGCTTACATGTGTCAGAGTTTGCTGTTGATAAATAATTAAGTAACAAATATGCATAAAAGTTTGTAAAAGAGTGTAAATCAAATTGTGTACAAAGCAGGCACTATATAACAAATGAGCAAACATAGCGCAGATAAGGAATGATTTATTATATGGACAGACAGGGTATATGTAGTAATATTGTCCTCTTCACTGACATCTCGACTGTCAGAAATCGCAAAGGAAGTGTAATAGAACAGAGTAACTTATTAACTCAGTAGTGTGTTGTTCTGCATGTTGTCAGCATTAAATTCCAGACTCTGCACCATGACTATTTAAACAAACCTATCATATTCAATAACTACAACAGGAAGCTAATTAAAGATGATGCAAACAAAAAAAAAAGTATTAAATAATACTTCGTTTTCCAATCCTCCACCACTGTTGATATTTTCCCTAATTGCCAAGGAAGGGGGACCTTGCCACCATTGGCTGTTGAAAGCAGACGTATTTTCACAGACCTTACATTAAAGTTCTGGACTGGCTAATTATGTCCCAATGACGCTAAAGGAGGGGGAGTTATACCTCCAGCAGCAGAGTAGTATAACTCCATATGTGCAGTGCTCCATAGTGAAACAGACTCCGACCACCATGACAACTTTAAATCACTGAAGTGGTCATGGTACTTGGAGTAACACTTTAAACATTAAATTGTAATGGCTTTAAAATGGAATTGTTACGCCAAAACAGACGCAATTGGAAAAATGTTTCACTTTAATTGTTTTTCCAATATGGATATTTTTGCCTCAGTTTTTCAATTTGTTTGCAGGTAGGTAGCAGACTAAACTGAGAATAATATAGAATGAACGCGTAAATTGCAATGTATGGTCAAAATATTTGCACAGGAAAACTAAGTTGGAATTTTTATTTTCTCATTTGGTAATGTTGGCTTAAAACTTCCAAATCCATTGTCAATTTTCCTTATTTCGCAAGCTGGTGATTTAAACCTCTCTTACCTAGGAAGTGTATGCTTAAATACATGAGCGTGGTAATTCATTGAGCATCAAATTTTAGCACATTATGATTGGCAAAATTCAAGATAAAACAGCTAAGCAGTGACTGGATGTTATTTTGGCTACAAATCAAATTTTATAAAATAACCTCAAGACTTTACTTATATGTTCTGTTTTATTTTCAGCATTTTCCTGCTGTACCAAATATACAAAAAAGTCCATACCTTCGAAGTACATCATATCCTTTTATGATCAGAAATCCACTGAGGTCTGCGATATTGACGCTGTTGTGTAAGTTGCTATTTTCTGTTATTAGTTTCTTAGTAAGCAGCTGAATTTTAATAAATCGATTTGCTACATATGTATGTTTATTGCTTAATTGATAGCAATAATTTTATTGATAAAACCAAATCATAACTAACAAGGATTTTCAATCATACGAAATCTCATGTAGATTTACAGATTGAAGTGGTTTATCGAGATAAAATACAGCTTTATAGAGAACAAGTAACTTATAGTTTCATAATGTTTCAAAGAAGTGGCTTACAGTGAAGTTTCAATTTTACAAGTATGTTTTAAAACAGTCGGCAAGCTGTTGTGTTATGTAATTATTTAAAGAGAGAGAGAGAGGACTTATAAGATTGTATTGTTTACTATGCTGCAAATCGGTTACAAAGTCCAAAAGATTTTTAACACCTTATTACCAATAAAGCGTATAGGTATCATTGCTTTGATTTTGTCTAGCATTGCAAAGCCAACAAAAATAACACTAATATATTTAAAACCCACTTAACAAATCAAAGCAGGTCAATCAGTGCAGGTTTTCTAAGAAGCTTACAGGAAAGAGAAATACAGCATCTGAATTCTACAATGTATTATTAAAATACAGATACCTGGTTTTAGCCAAGCAACTCTATTTTCTGTATTTTGCCATTATTCACTGTCATAATGTCTGCATATTACTTATATTTTAAAAACCTACATTCTAAAAATACTATCTTATTCCTTAAAGGGACACTATAGTCACCAAAACAACTTTAGCTTAATGATGCAGTTTTGGTGTATAGAACATGTCCCTGCATCCTCACTGCTTAATTCTCTGCCATTTAGTAGTGAAATCACTGTGTTTATGAACCCTAGTCACACCTCCCTGCATTTGACTTGTGCAGCCTTCCTAAACACTTCCTGTAAAGAGTCATCTAAAGTTTATCCTTCCTTTATTGCAAGTTATGTTCAATTTAGATTTTCTTATCCCCTGCTATGTTAATAGCTTGCTAGACCCAGCAAGAGCCTCCTGTATGTCATTAAAGTTTAATTTACAGAGAAAGAGATACAATTGTTTAAGGTATATTACAACTGATTAAAAGTGAAACCAGTTTTTTTTCATGCAGGCTGTGTCAATCAGAGCCAGGGGAGGTGTGATAAGGGCTGCATAAACAGAAACAAAGTGATTTAACTCCTAAATGCCAGTGAATTGAGCAGTGAAACCTTAGAAGCATGATCTATACACTAAAACTGCTTCATTAAGCTAAAGTTGTTTAGGTGACTATAGTGTTCCTTTAACCCCTTAAGGACACATGACATGTGTGACATGATTCCATTTTATTCCAGAAGTTTGGTCCTTAAAGGGTTAAATATATCATACATAGCAGAACATCTAACCACTTTATTTGTGATACTTTTTGTAACACTAACTGTATGCTATGAAATGATTTTCTGTGCACATTTCAAATTAATGTTACCCAGCAAAACTTTAGACACTATAACAACCTCATCTTGTTGAAATTGTTATAGTGTCTTCAGTCTTACCCCCCTCCTCTCTCCTTGTCCTATCCACCAAAGCCCTTTATGGTAATAATTAGAAGACTTGGAAGCGCAGTTTCAATACACGCTTTTAAACCATCTGGGTATAAGAGCTGTGACTGTTGTCATAGAGAATTATTCTATTTAATGATTCTTTATGGCAGAATTATAGGAGCATTGCCATGCATGAGCCTATGGTCCCCAATGCTCCTCTGAAGAGCATTGGATTGGATCGTCATCAGCCAAGTTGGTGACAGTGGCAGTGCCAAGTCTCCATTGGCGCATTAAAAAGGTGAGTAATTTTGTTATTTTTCATTCGTTTGTTGTTTTTATTAAAATTGGTGGGCCCTTGAACTATTAGGCACATTAATACTATAGCGTTAAGAATGCAGAAATGTATTATCAAGGTGATAAAAGAGCTCTAGACTCATGATAACAAGTGATTTGTTGACCACGTTTTTTGTTTGTTTTTTCTTCTCCTCCAGTTTTAGGGTGATTCCTAAACCATGTAAATATCCGGAAAAAGTTGAAAATATCTGTGCAGATCCCGAGCAAGACTGGGTTAAGAACCACGTGAAAGCTTTGAAGTGAGTATTACACCATTTTGGCAACAAGCAATAGTTAGCAAATAAAGCAGAGCATGTTGCAATGAAATTTTATATAGCTAAACATATGGGTGCATGGAACATTAATAATTTAAATAAACACATTTCCACATTAGCAGAATTTACAAAATGAGCAGGTTGCCCATAAAATATACCTAATTACAGTATTGTTTGTGGGCACATAAATACAGAGGTGGGTTGTTGGTATCTGTATTTTAAGATATCTCTGTGTTCTCTAAAATGTATTCACTAAACAATAAATGTAATAAATTGAAAACCACATTGCAAAGATTAGGCAAGAATTTAAGAAAAAAATCAAAAACTCCAATTTAACTTTTCAAACCACCACCATTCACTATTAGGTGAATAAATCCCACGGGGCGATCATATGCATTGGTTAAACTGTGCATGTTAAATGAGTGGAAGAACAAGATAAACAGCAATGTAAAATGATTATAGCTGTCAGCCAAGAAACTGTCAGCTCTCCAACAACTAAAAAGCATTTCAGTTTGCTGCTTCCTCATCGGCATTCCAAACGTCTGTATATGCGAAACACGCCGTTTAAATTCACACTATTGTTACTGAAAAAACATTGTGTGCATCGCTTATATGAATCAACCTACTAGAATGAAATATAGGTGTAATCTAAAAATGAGTATTCAACAATCTTCTGAAGATTAAGTGGGTAATGTATAAATAGTGTCATATTCACGTACATTTTCTAATGTATAAAACTGTTATTTCATCCTTTTGTACATTGAAGATTTGTTTTACACCTCATCTGTAATGTGTCGAAATAATCAGTTTTTCCATCAATTTTTAACTCCTATTTTGGATTTTTGCTCCTTTCTTTTCCTGATGCTTGTACCATTGATTACATTCCCAACATAAGAGTGAGTGATATACCAAAAAAAAAAGAGACATTTTAAAAAGATTTTTTTTTAAATTTCTTAATTAAAAATAATGAGATTTAAAAAAAAGGTAATACTACTTACCTGTCTCGGAAAAACATCACTATGACCAGGATGGAAAATGTTTATAGAAAAAAAAAAAAAGGTTTATTTTTGCACTTTGTTTTTTGTGCATTGGAAGCAACATTAACCAAAACAATGAACCGAAATTTAACAGGAAAATAAAATAATTCAAGTGAGGAATATTTTGGTGCAAATAAGTAAAATTATGGAAAAAGCATCATAAAATTCAATTAAAGGTAACACGATACTTTTTGTAAATAAGCTTCGTAGTTTTTACATTGAATCCACATACTGAAATAATATATTATCTAAATTATATCAAGTAGGGGCCATTTACTAAGCATGTACTAAGCAAGAACTTTTAAAAGTTTATTTTTGTGTTTGTATTTTCTTTAATTCTATGATGAATTAACCAGTAAAAATAAACCACCTAATGCACGTGTAGCATATTTAATATTAGATACATTTGAACTAATTACTTTATTTACTTTTTTAACATTTAGCATGTTTTTTTTTTGTGTATGTTCATTCTAGGAATTCCACGAATAAACCAATAAAGAAGAAAATTCAGAGGATGAAGAACAAATGTGGACGGCGTACAAAAAAGCTAAGAAAAATGTCTAATAATTAGACATTACGCCTGAAAATATACTGTTTCTTTAAGCCATTTTGCTTATGGCAAACTCTTCATCCAGTTGGATTTTATTTCCTTTATTTCTGTTTACCTTTCAAGCTTGCAACAAACAATGATGAAGAAAAATAAAAGGCAAAAAATAGAGGCAAATAAATATCCCCACCATCCACTGTCAGACTCACTTAATGTCAAGAGACAGTCAAAGGCCAGCTCGTCACCATCACCTGTCATAATCATAGTCTTTTTCAGAAAATCAGTAAGAATATGTCATTTGCTGGAATCACTGACTATTTCTGGATAACAACAATTCCCTAACCATCAGTTTTCTAAATTGCAGAGAACTATCTTTTAACAGAAATCTGTTATTAGACACCAAGAACGATGTTATAAACATTTACCTCTTATGTAGTAAGAGAGTTTATTGACATAAATCTTCGCTTGCAACTGCTGCATAGACCACGTTCAAAAGGGGCATTGTGAAGCCACCATTCTGGCGCACTGAACATTTTGCACCAAACAGTAATGACACATGATGGATGGTGTATTCATTTTGTCAATTGTGCTCTGAGACAATACTTCTACATCAATGTTGCCCCACACCAAAGTGGCCTGGGTCAATCCAGCAGGCCCAAAATACTCTAGGACTGTTCCATGTTTTAGATTATTTGTCTTGCCACTTGGCATCCTTGCCCACTTTAATTTAGCTGTGTTTTCTAAGGACATCCTTATTGTGACAATTATATCTAAATTTGAAATTCTATACAATATCGCAAAACAGTGAATGTACTAAGTCAATATTCACCTTGAATGATTATTCTGAAATGTCTTATGTCATCAATTGACACCAAGGACATATTTTATGTCCACATCTGGAAAGCAGACAAACTTTTATTTTTTTAAAATTCTAATTATTTATTTAATTATACATTGTATAATTTAATTTTATAATGTATAAACTAGATTCACTGCATTCTATAACAGATCTGTAATATTCTTAAAGAGGAACTGTCATTGCCCATTTACTATCATGTTTTCAAAAACAGTATTTTGGACAAATATGTGTTTCTGAGCTGTAAAAAGATCAAATTAAATGCAGAAATATGCACCTCTTTATCCTACACATGGGTGCCTCCGTCTTAGCTGTCTGTCATTCAGTCACTGTTATAGACTCTGTCCTTTGTACCTGGCAGTCAGCATGGAGTAAGCATAGTGAGAAAAGGAGACATTATATTTACAATTCTTGACTTTCTAAACTGTTTCAATGTAATTTGTTCAAAGTAAATTTAAAAAGTTAATTTCAGTTAGATGTGATTTTCAATTATTTTCTTTATGGTGTAAATTATACAATTCTTGTCCTTTCATAAACTGTTTCAGATGTAATTTGTTCAAACTTGAAATTATAAATTTAAGAAAGTTAATTTGAGTTTGATGTGATTTTCAATTATTTTCTCAATGGTGTAAATTACCACAAAAGTTAGTTCCCCTTTAATTCTTCATGGCATTGTACAAAATTTGCCGCATAAATACAGAGGTGGGTTGTTGGTATCTGTATTTTAAGATATCTCTGTGTTCTCTAAAATGTATTCACTAAACAATAAATGTAATAAATTGAAAACCACATTGCAAAGATTAGGCAAGAATTTAAGAAAAAAATCAAAAACTCCAATTTAACTTTTCAAACCACCACCATTCACTATTAGGTGAATAAATCCCACGGGGCGATCATATGCATTGGTTAAACTGTGCATGTTAAATGAGTGGAAGAACAAGATAAACAGCAATGTAAAATGATTATACTGTCAGCCAAGAAACTGTCAGCTCTCCAACAACTAAAAAGCATTTCAATCGGCATTCCAAACGTCTGTATATGCGAAACACGCCGTTTAAATTCACACTATTGTTACTGAAAAAACATTGTGTGCATCGCTTATATGAATCAACCTACTAGAATGAAATATAGGTGTAATCTAAAAATGAGTATTCAACAATCTTCTGAAGATTAAGTGGGTAATGTATAAATAGTGTCATATTCACGTACATTTTCTAATGTATAAAACTGTTATTTCATCCTTTTGTACATTGAAGATTTGTTTTACACCTCATCTGTAATGTGTCGAAATAATCAGTTTTTCCATCAATTTTTAACTCCTATTTTGGATTTTTGCTCCTTTCTTTTCCTGATGCTTGTACCATTGATTACATTCCCAACATAAGAGTGAGTGATATACCAAAAAAAAAAGAGACATTTTAAAAAGATTTTTTTTTAAATTTCTTAATTAAAAATAATGAGATTTAAAAAAAAGGTAATACTACTTACCTGTCTCGGAAAAACATCACTATGACCAGGATGGAAAATGTTTATAGAAAAAAAAAAAAAGGTTTATTTTTGCACTTTGTTTTTTGTGCATTGGAAGCAACATTAACCAAAACAATGAACCGAAATTTAACAGGAAAATAAAATAATTCAAGTGAGGAATATTTTGGTGCAAATAAGTAAAATTATGGAAAAAGCATCATAAAATTCAATTAAAGGTAACACGATACTTTTTGTAAATAAGCTTCGTAGTTTTTACATTGAATCCACATACTGAAATAATATATTATCTAAATTATATCAAGTAGGGGCCATTTACTAAGCATGTACTAAGCAAGAACTTTTAAAAGTTTATTTTTGTGTTTGTATTTTCTTTAATTCTATGATGAATTAACCACTAAAAATAAACCACCTAATGCACGTGTAGCATATTTAATATTAGATACATTTGAACTAATTACTTTATTTACTTTTTTAACATTTAGCATGTTTTTTTTTTGTGTATGTTCATTCTAGGAATTCCACGAATAAACCAATAAAGAAGAAAATTCAGAGGATGAAGAACAAATGTGGACGGCGTACAAAAAAGCTAAGAAAAATGTCTAATAATTAGACATTACGCCTGAAAATATACTGTTTCTTTAAGCCATTTTGCTTATGGCAAACTCTTCATCCAGTTGGATTTTATTTCCTTTATTTCTGTTTACCTTTCAAGCTTGCAACAAACAATGATGAAGAAAAATAAAAGGCAAAAAATAGAGGCAAATAAATATCCCCACCATCCACTGTCAGACTCACTTAATGTCAAGAGACAGTCAAAGGCCAGCTCGTCACCATCACCTGTCATAATCATAGTCTTTTTCAGAAAATCAGTAAGAATATGTCATTTGCTGGAATCACTGACTATTTCTGGATAACAACAATTCCCTAACCATCAGTTTTCTAAATTGCAGAGAACTATCTTTTAACAGAAATCTGTTATTAGACACCAAGAACGATGTTATAAACATTTACCTCTTATGTAGTAAGAGAGTTTATTGACATAAATCTTCGCTTGCAACTGCTGCATAGACCACGTTCAAAAGGGGCATTGTGAAGCCACCATTCTGGCGCACTGAACATTTTGCACCAAACAGTAATGACACATGATGGATGGTGTATTCATTTTGTCAATTGTGCTCTGAGACAATACTTCTACATCAATGTTGCCCCACACCAAAGTGGCCTGGGTCAATCCAGCAGGCCCAAAATACTCTAGGACTGTTCCATGTTTTAGATTATTTGTCTTGCCACTTGGCATCCTTGCCCACTTTAATTTAGCTGTGTTTTCTAAGGACATCCTTATTGTGACAATTATATCTAAATTTGAAATTCTATACAATATCGCAAAACAGTGAATGTACTAAGTCAATATTCACCTTGAATGATTATTCTGAAATGTCTTATGTCATCAATTGACACCAAGGACATATTTTATGTCCACATCTGGAAAGCAGACAAACTTTTATTTTTTTAAAATTCTAATTATTTATTTAATTATACATTGTATAATTTAATTTTATAATGTATAAACTAGATTCACTGCATTCTATAACAGATCTGTAATATTCTTAAAGAGGAACTGTCATTGCCCATTTACTATCATGTTTTCAAAAACAGTATTTTGGACAAATATGTGTTTCTGAGCTGTAAAAAGATCAAATTAAATGCAGAAATATGCACCTCTTTATCCTACACATGGGTGCCTCCGTCTTAGCTGTCTGTCATTCAGTCACTGTTATAGACTCTGTCCTTTGTACCTGGCAGTCAGCATGGAGTAAGCATAGTGAGAAAAGGAGACATGGAAACAAAATGAAAGATTTCTCCATTTTATTTACAATTCTTGTCCTTTCTAAACTGTTTCAGATGTAATTTGTTCAAACTTAAATATAAATTTAAAAAGTTAATTTGAGTTAGATGTGATTTTCAATTATTTTCTCAATGGTGTAAATTACACAAAAGTGACAGTTCCCCTTTAATTCTTCATGTCTGTTTTCATCCGCATATGTACTTATTACATTTCTAGACCGAATGAAGTCTCTGCTTTTTTTAGCGGAACTCTTCATATCTTATTAGCTCATTGACCTAAAAAGTCTGAATTTACAGTTTCCTCTGAAACTAAATACATTTTTTGTATGTTGATTCATATTGCATCGTAAATGTAACTTAGCTTCTTGAAGCTTGAAAAAAAATGTTTCCATCATATGTGCAAAGTAAATGTTCATTAATAAACAATGAATCTGTGAATTGTGAGAAAATGTGTTCATTTATACTACAATACCAGATATTTCAAAAAACAAACGGCCATGACGTTGTATCCCTTGTTAGGCTGCTGGAGCTATCTTATACAGTGTATTGTGAGTTTTTATAACTGTAGTAAATTGTACTGTCTGGATCATAGGGTTAATTCACTAAACTAAGAATTGGGGATTGTAGGTTAACCCCTTAAGGACACAACTTCTGGAATAAAAGGGGAATCATGATGGACTATTTCCATCATGTTTAAACAAAAGCATTCTCGGGCAGCTCTTTTTCGAGCTCCTATATGACCTAAAATCTTCACTTCTCAAAAATGAGGATATTGGCAAATAAGCCTTATATAATTGCTTTGTAACTGTAGAGCTGCAGAAATGAGAGCGACAGATTCCAGAATAAATATTCCAGTACTAAAAGCAGGCAAAATACAGAGCCTCAAAACCTTTTAAAAAAGCCCGGTATATTCAGCAATAACTACCACTTCCTTATTGTTGCATTCATACAATTTACACCTTCTTACCAACAAAAAATATATTTTTGTCATAGCTTATTGGCATCCCAAGAAATTTATGGTGGGGAGATAATGCCACACACCTTTGTCTCATTGTCCTTTAATGGGTAATATAAATATATTTACCATTTCAGTAAGCTGTTACCCTCACTGCTATAGTCTGCTCACTGTAAAGCTAAAAGAGATGCTCATCAAACATGATTATGTACAAGGTGTACAAGAGAGATTTCCCAAGGAGCCTGTTGGTGGGGTATGATTGGGGCATCACTTTCACTGATAACCTCATATAAACTTGTATTAATTATTTTAAATTAAGAATTTGGTTTGTAAGGTTAAGTGTTATGTTGAAATGAATTTTTGTAACATATAATATAATCCTCGAAATAATCCACTGGGGTTTTCAAAATTGGACATCCTAGCAATGAACAGGATCATAAGGGGAGGGTTATCCGAAACCATGCACATTTGTGGCAAATCAATACATCTCTATGCAGAGCGTGTAGATGCTGACCTTCAGTCCTGCAATTTTTGCATTAACGAACCCGGAAGGTCCCTCTAGTGGTTGTCCGAGTGACAGTCACTAGAGGTGGAGCTATAGAGGTGGCATTATTCTCTGAAAAGGCAGCATTTACACTGCTCAGTCAGTAGGGACAGGCTACATGCCCCAGAAACCATACATTAAAGGGATACTCTAGTCACCAAGACCACTTAATGAAGTGTCCCTTTTATATATTAAAGACTTGTGTAAGAGCATATAATGTAATTAATTGGCTGCAAGGAGAGGCAGTTTGTGTTTACTGTGAAGTATCAGATAATACAAACTATACCTAAGTGACCTGTAGCACTGTGTGAGAGTACTGTTTCTAGAGGCAGATAGATAGAAAAGTGCTTCTATTGGCAGTGTTTAGTGATAGTTATTCTGGGTTTTGTGACAATATTAAAGACTTTAAAAATGAAACTGACTGTAAATAGGTAAGATAACAGAAATGAAATGATATGCTGTTTTAAAAGGACACTCCAAGCACCATAACCAGAAAATCTGTTAAATCCTCACCATTTTCTTTCTTAGTCATCTTAATTTGTAACACTCAGAGTCCCTTTCCACTGATTTCATATGAAGAAATATCATTTTTCCTTTCAACTTCCAAGTGTTTGCAGAGTATGAGCAGAGCAAGTCCTTCTCTTGAACTTCCAGTAATTTGTGCTCCTTGTGAGTGTATGAATGAATAGAAACAGATCTATAAGTCCTGTGGGCATGTAGGATGAAACAGGATGAATGCTTTTATGTGTTTTCACAATTTACATAAAATTGTCTGTCATAATTGTTCACCTTATTTCCTTGAGTGTCGAAGATTCCTTCTGTCTGTTTACATTAAGGATTGTGCTCCTTGGTATTTGAAGACTTTTCTGATCCACTGGCAGCATTTAAAAGAGTAAATGTAACTTTGTCTTTGACCACTGCTACTTGTGACTATGGGACTTGCTTACGTTAGAACCCTACTGGATCCAATTTTTAAGTGCATGGTTGAAATCTGACGTACATGTTGTGAACAAGTATGTGGATGGCTCAATAATAGAACACCGATGGGAAAGGAACTATATTCTGGACAAATTGGTTAGGATTTAAAAAAGTAGGTTTACATGGACTGCTACCTAGTAGCATTAACATTTTACTACGCTGCAGTGATTGTGGTATTTGTAATGTTTCTTAAAGGAACACTCCAGCCCCAATTCAGGTCACATAACTTCTCAATGAAAAACAGTAGAAAATGCCCTAACAAAGAATGTCTGTCCATGGGCGCTCATCTCTCCACCTCTTAAATCTTTCCCGTTGTTTTTGCATCAGCTAGTGATCTTAGCCTATCACTGCCCTCCTACAGCGAGTGTACTGTTACTCGCAATGGGCGGCCAATGATAGGCTGAAATGAAGAGATTGAGATGAAGTTGTTATGGTTTGGAGTGGCCCTTTAAGTATTACTGAGAAAATTGCCATAACTTGTGAACTGCTGTTAACCGAAAGTTAAACAAGAGTAAATCTAATAATTATTAAACTGTGAAGCTGAACAAAGAAACCACTCACTTGGCAGGGATCCCTCAATACTATTGATGATTCTTGCTGTCAGTTTTTCATATTTGCCAAACACAAAATAACTGGTGGAAGGAAAATCATGACATTTGGCGGCAATCACGAGAAGGCTGATCTATACATTTGTCAGCCAACATAAAATGTATTATTTAAAAAAGAATAAAATATATCATAGCAAAATCTATATACCTGTAGCTAGACTGTGAAAAACAACTATTGCACCATCCATAGTCAATGATCAACTCTATAATAATAACTCGCACCTACAAAAAAGGTGTCTATAAAAGTTTTATAAAGATACAGATAGACGGGGACACCAAGATATCCCACGTAAGCAATGACATTTAGCCTTTATCAACCATCCCCCAACCCCTTCCTAAGCCTTTTATTCTTAAATGATCAAAATCCTTTATAAATGATCAACTATGGACCATTTGTATACTACGTAAATCACACTCACAGGACTATGTGTCTGAAATATTATGTTTATTTTACAATAGTGCATTTTCCTGCCATTTGGTTTACAGATCAAGTGAGAAAAAACTGTAGATAGAAAACGTGGAGGAGCAGTAATAAAAAAAAAACTACATTTATACAATATATATGTATTTAATATATGATGTATATAAGATATAACTAGAGATATTTTTTTATTGCTCCACCTTTTTTCCCTAATAAATAATAAATAATAAATAAAATCAGCACTTAGTGACTGCTCCCTAGCCATCAATCATCTATTTTCCCCATCAGTCTTTTCTTTCTTTTGTGCCACAGGTGGATGTACAAATCACAAAATCAAAATTAACATGCTTGCCCTTCGCGCTTTTCGTTTGGTTTTTTCATTCGGCTACATTTCGGCTTGGAGTTCAAGAATTTGTACGATCACAGTTTGTAGGGGAAAAAAGCAGAGCTCACAATCTAATAGCAAATATTAATGTTATTGCCTAGATCTGCATGTGAATCTCTGCCAGGGTAATGATGTTGAGATTAATGATATCTGTTACTATAAGTCTATACTGACCCCACTGACCCCCCTTATCCTCTTGTGGAAGGATGTGTCTCAGCTGTCACTCCAAGACTGTATAGGTTTATGAACCCCACCCAGGGGTTGCTGCATCCTATATAATTTATGCAAAGAGCGCTACTGGCTGTATCTCCTGACTGCATGGCTCTGTCTGGGATGCATGGCTCTGTCGCTGGGGATGCAGTAACTGGCCACGGCATCAGTCTCCATTTTAAAGGTTAGTCTGTAGGGAGGAGCTGATGGATACAAATAAAGCAGCTGAAATGGATTTGAGCTAATTACTCATTAAAGGGAAACTATAGTGCCAGGAAAACAAACTCTTTTTTTCTGGCACTATAGCTCACCCTCTGTCAAGCCCGCCTCCCCTGTGGTGCAGAAGGGAAATAATATCCTGGGTCGAGTGCCGATGACCCTCAGAGCTGGCTCAGTTCCGCCCCCGCTAATGCACATGCACGGCAATTGATATGCTCACATTAGGATTTCCCCATAGGAAAGCATTATTCAATGCTTTCCTATGGGGATTCTGGTGATGCTGGAAGTCCTCTTGCATAGCGTGAGGACGTCCACCGTCGTTTAGGCGACCAAAAGTCACCTATCCACCCGGAAGTCCCTCTAGTAGGCAGCCACTACAGAAGGAGTGAACCCTAGCAGGTAATTATTGCAGTTTTTAAATACTGTAATAATTACATGCTCAGGGTTAAGTGTGAAGGAAGTTTGAGCTGAAGTGGTCTGGGTACCTACAGTGCCCCTTTAATTTCTGAGGGCAAAAAACTAACATATGTTATAAATTAATAATTGTCACTTTATCACCTATGCCACCCTAGCCCCTTTAGCCCCCCAAAAATATATCCATGTGCAACTCACTTTAAAAATCAGTTTCTTCAGTTTTTACCAACATTGATAATACCCTGTTTCAATGAAAATAAGACATCCCCGAAAATAAGCCCTAGCTTATACCCCAAAAATAAGCCCTATAAGCCCTACCCCAAAAATAAGCCCTAGTCACCAATCGCAAGTTCGCTAATCTATGTTCTGGGAATTTTCCCCGAATGTAAATTTGCGGTATTCCATTCGCAAGTAAGATAATCTATGTTCGAGGAAGTTTCCCTAAGCATTGATTTGCATGATTTTATTCGTGAGTAAACTAATCTATTTTCAGGGCGTTTCCCCAAACATAGATTTGAGCGATTCCATTCATGAGTAAGCTAATCTATGTTCAGGAAATGTTCCCTGAACACAGATTCGCAGGATTCCATGCACTATTGCATTGGTCTATGTTCGGGGGAATTCTCCCAAACATAGACCTGCTTTCTAGCGCATGTTTGAAACCGTTTTCCCCGAAATAAGACCTCCCCTGAAAATAAGCCCTGGTGTTTTTTTT